CAGTAATGACAGAGCATGCGCTGTTACGCAAAAACAGCGATAGAGTGAAGCCGCGGAAGTCGAAGCGCGAAGTGGCGAGGGTTCACTGTATATCCCACGAGAGGGGATGCCTATACTCATTTGTTGGTCCATAGAAAAACATCTTCTAATCCATTTACCCAGAGGGAGTGCCTTCTATAATTTGTACTATAGGCTACTTGTGGCCACTTTGGCATTCTCTAGAATCATGCAGCGTGAAGGTCTTGGTAATAGCTGTGGTCTTCACTCACCCTCCTAGGACCTGAACTTCCAGTGCTATAACGTAGATCATACGAAATGGCTAGAGGTAGGGTTCCCAGTTAGAAGAGTGTTGAAGAGGATCAGAGAGAGAGAGAAAGACCAGGCCAAAGATAGATTTTGAGAAATAACTAACTTGGTAATATACCAAGAACCAGTAATGTAGCTTTCATGTAGTTAAGCTGGTAAATGTTGTTAGTCAACGTAACGTAGTGCATTCCAATACCCATTACAAAAATTTTGCAAAATTATGCTGGACAATTCACATCACCTGGGAGTCCTGGCGGCACAGCCGGTTTCACATTCAGTTGTTGATCAGTGGATTGAACCCACCAACCAATGCACGGAGAATGATGAGGCAATCTGCTTGCATAAAATTACAGTCTTAGAAATCCATTGAGACAGTTCTACTCTGTGGTTTAGTGTGACTCTGAGCCAAAATAGATACAACAGCAGATTTATTCACAGAATCACCACTGGTCTGTCAATATGTGGTGGATGATGTGTTGTGATGCTGGAAGCTCTGCCTCTGGTATTCCAAATATTAGCAGGGTCACTCACGGTTTCAGTGGCATGTGTAAACTGACAGAGACAAGGAAGAGAGACCTGGCAATCTAGTTCTGAAAATGAGCTAATAAAGATGGATAGGGCAAGATATGTCAAATTATCAATTTATAAATTATCAAGGGTTCATGAGGGAGGGGGGAGTGGCAGGGAGGGGAAAATGAGGAGCTGATGCCAGGGGCTTCGGTGGAGAGCAAATGTTTTGAGAATGATGAGGGCAATGAATGTACAAATGTGCTTTACACAATTGATGTGTGTATGGATCGTGATAAGAGTTGTATGTGCCCCTAATAAAACGATTAAAAATAACAAAGACTGGATGGATCACGAGAGGAGATAGTCTCATAGAGTGCTGTACGACGACGCACCTCCTAGTTTGGAAGGCACTCCAAATCCTCAGTGGCCACAACCATGGACTCCAGCATACCAACAATCATGAAATGGTACAGGACCAGGCCATGTTTTGTTCTAGTATACGTGGGATAGCTGTGGCTTAGAGTGAACTCAACGGCAATCAATAATACCAACAACATTCACATCAAACTGCTTGCCTTCATTAATATACAGATCATTAAGAATTGAATGTATTTGGTTTCTGATCTGCTCTTGCTGAGGTCCAGGTTAAGAAGCCTCTTCCTGGGATGAGGACTTAGAAGGGGTTGTACTTTCATCTGAAGGTCAGAAAGGTAATGTCATCTCTAGGAGGGACTAACAGTCACACTCATCAGATGGCACTGTATTGTGTAGATTCTCTTTTCTCTGCCATGAGTTGTTTTAGAGTAGTGTGTATTCTTTGGCAAATATTCACTTCCTGACTTGCTAGGTTCTCTGGTGTTGCTTCTTGCCTTTTGAGAGAAACAGAATTCCTACTAACCTTACAACTTAAAAAGGGAAACTGAACAAGAGTCTCCAAACTGCAAATTCACTGTCATTGCATTGTTTCTGACTTGTAGTGACTCTATAGGATAGAGTCGAAGGACCTCTTTGGGTTTCCAAGACTGTAAGTCTTCATGGGAGCAGAAAGCTTTACCTTTCTTCCCTGGAGCAGGTGGTGGTTTTGAACTGCTGACCTGATGGTTAGCAGCCCACCAAGTGGCCCTTTGTGCTACCGGGTCTCCTTAGACAAAAGACAAATATCTGTAGTTACAGCTGTACTCTTACAAAGTATCTCTGTCTGGACTAACAGGCTTTACCACCAACACATGTGTACCACATTACAAGGAAAGGCATCTGATCATGTCCATATGATCTGGTTAGGATGTTCCAACCACCAAAAGGAAAAGAAGTGGAAATTCCTAGCATTAACCTATAGAGATGAGAGAGTACAAAAAGCTGACGTCATTCACCCATTTTGTACATAGGAACAAGCAAAGACCGATTCAGATAGCAAACAAAGAAGGTCTTATATATTTCTGAAATAACTATAGTTTCATGGAATATGCATAATACATTGATTTACCTGAGAAACTTGAAGTACATCCATAATATTTTATCATTCCATTTTGATTACCCAGCTCGCCTTGGGATCCATTCTGTGTTGTGGGTGCTGCAAAATATATGTATCTATTGATTATCTTGGGGAAAAAACAATAAATGAATCTTGTAGCAGTAATGTATAATTACCCTCCAGATATAATTTGCACCCCAGATAGAGGCTTACTCTTTCAGCCTGTTAATTATCCTGTTGGTGTTCACTCACCTGAATAAACCAATTGTAAGTTAGGCTGATATTCCACTAAAATCACAAGAATAAAAAGACAAAGGTACTTTGGCATTAGTTCCATCTTCAAATATTTTTTTCTCCAAACAGAACACCAAAGAGTTCTTTTAACCTGAAGGGACATACAAAGGAAACGTTTATTCATAGTCTGGTGATCTGACTTTCTCCAACCCTTGAAGTGAGGTGCTCGGTTCCATTCCAGATTCTGAAGTGGAGCACATATCCCAATGGACCAAAGCCAGCCAATGCGGTGACTGATGGAATGAGTGTCCAGGGTTCTAGGGATGCTTAAGGATCCTGTCGGACATGTAATTATAGGGGTGAATGAAAATCGATTCCTACTCTTTGGCATGCTACAGTTTATTTAAACAGGAGGCAGACAGGCATGAATGGGGTTCAGTGACTTACATCCCAAGAAGCAAATAGAAGAGGCAGGAGATTGGACAGGAGTTGCTCCATGGTTGAAATCCCTGGATTTGGATTCCAGTTCCAGTTGTTTCACTTAGGAGTTGCTGACCTTAATCAAATTACTTGTTTCTCCCTGAGTTTTTTTCCTCTGTAAAGTTAACAGAGCAGTACCTGGCACTGAAGCAGTGGTAACCATGGTTATGTCATGCATGTAGATAGACCTCACCTCCTTGCCATTAGTTTGAATCAACAACTTGGTACACGTCTAACTACTGGGGTGCTATGCAGAGACCTTGCCCCACATAGCTTCCATTCAGTGTTTTCTTTATGGAAACAAATCAGATAATACCAAAATGTGCAATTGGAAATGAAAGGCCGATGGCCGAGAAAGAGGTGGTAAAGTCTTTGCCCTTATCCCATCCAGAGGTTCTCATACAGAAGACAGTATCAGGCTCCCCCTCTTCCATAGCCTCTTAAAAGAGAGTGAATTAGTAGATCTTTGGACCCTTCTTCTTTTTAAAAAAAAAACATTTTATTAGGGGCTCATACAACTGTTATCGCAATCCATACACACATCAATTGTGTAAAGTGCATTTGTACATCATTCTCAAAACATTTTCTCTCCACTTAAACCCCCGGCATTAGGTCCTCATTTTTCCCCTCCCTCCCCGCTCCCCCCTCCCTCATGAACCCCTGATAGTTTATAAATTGGTACTTTGTCATATCTTGCCCTGTCCAACGTCTCCCTTCACCCACTTTTCGGTTGTCTGTCCCCCAGGGAGGAGGTCACATATAGTTCCTTATAATTGGTTGCCTCTTTCCTACCGACTCTAAAGCTATTGGGATTCCTTCTACCTGCCCTGTGCCAGAGTACCATAGTCCTTTATCCTTTCTGAAGGTGGATGATTCCCAGCCATTGATTATGGCCACTTCTTATTTACTATTATACAACTCGCCAATTCCTGTCTTTCTCCCCCATCACTCTCCAACTGTGCACGGCCCATGTTAGAATTTAATTTTGGCTTTCAGTTCTCAGAATTACTTCTCTGACCCATTCCTTCTAGCGTGGTACCTGGACTAACTCTGCTGCATCTCGCCTCTACTTTGATTCGTTGTAGACTGTCAGTCTCCCCACGGGCATTGATATTTTATCCCTGATTGTGCCACTCAAACTCCCCATGGGTATTGATATTTTATCTGGGATTGTAACAAAGAAACAGAACAACTAGGAGATCTTTCTCTCTTCTCTGTAAGTAATTGGCTTCCTTGGTTGTGGGATCTGACAAGTTTGAAATCATAGGGCAGGCAGGAAGGTTGGAAACCCCTGCCGAGGAGCTGAGGCTAAAGCTCTTCTTCCTCAGGGAAACCTTAGTTTTATTAAGGCCTTCAATTGATTGAATGAAGCCCTTCAAGATTATCAAGAATGATCTCCATCACTGAAAGACAGCTGATTGCACATGTTAGTCACATCTGCAAACACCTTCACAGCAGCACTGACATTAGTATTTAAATAACTGGGCAGGAGAGCCAACGTTTGGGAGAAAGATGAGGCTGTCTGCTCCGGGAAAGGTTTACAGGACCCCTGAAACCTTATCTAGGGTTACATTTGGGTCGGAATCGACTCAGTGACAGTGGGTTTTATTTTGTTTTGTTGCTAGCCAATGAGATAGACTGACAACATGGTTGTAACTATCCGTTCAAACACAGCAGGGGCTATGAACATGGCACAGGGCCGGGCCGTGTATTATCCTGTTTGCATAGAGTCATTGAGAATCAGACCTGACGTGACAGCACCTAATCAAAGTGACACATAAAAACGATCATAACACCAAGTTCTATTAAGGTCTTGCTCCCTTTAGACTTAGTGCTTCCCTTGACTCGAATATGCCGGGTACGTAGTCTAGCTAGCTATCCCCGCAACCCTTAAGTGTGTGGGTTTCCTTTAATGCTATTGCAGAATGTAGAGAGAAGCATGGGCCAGAAAGTCATTTAATCCTATTTCCTCATATTTTTAATGGATCTAGAATGAGAAAGAAGGTTGTGGCAGTTACATAATCTGTCCACTTGCGAAGGAGCAGTGTCTAGCCTGTCAATCAGGTCACAGCCAATGAGGCCTCTGTGTGGGGATAGCCTTCTCCTGAGGATTCTGGGAACTCCTGTCTTCCTCCCTGGAGGTGGGAAACACACTCTCTCTGCTTCGTCTTCCTGCTAACAAGCCACATGGAGCAACACTGATGCAGCCAGAGCCCTGGAGCTGGAGGAGCCATCTGAAGACCCACACCAGTGCTGAGACGCTGCCACCACCACTGGATCCACACGACTTCCCACCCACAGGCCTGTGATCTTCCTGCATTTGGCGTCATTGCATGTGTTGCGTGAGTCTGAAGAGCAATTTATAGACTGGTATCGGATATATGGGCTAATATTGGACTTATGGACTTGATCTGCACTGGGCTGGGATGTTTTCTTAATCTACAATTACTCTTTGGTATAAGGTTCTCTCTAACACACATATGAGTGTCTATGAATTTGTTTCTCTAGTCAACCCAGACTGACACAAAGGTTTTAGTAACAGATAAGCTTAAGATATGGTAATTAGCATAGTGTTAATGACATATGAGACATCTCATTTCAAATAATACACTTTTCGAATCTGCTACTCTTGTGATTGCTTAACCTGTCTATACATCCTAGTCACCTATGGAAGGTTAAAAATACATATTCTCAGGCCCAAACCAAGATCCACTGAGTTGAGTTGTTAGGTGCCAACGAGTTGGTGGCGACCCTCTGTATGCCAGAAAGAAACACTGCCTGGACTGGAGTTGAGAGTCCAGTTGCTTCTCTGCGGGCCAGTCTGCTGTGCAGCCCGAAGAATCAGGCTTAGACAAGCACTGAGCTAGCATGCTCGTGACACAAGGCAGCAGGGAGGAAAAGGACAATGATAGGATCTGGTCTCCAATCGAGGCTGGAGACAGAAGAGATGAATGACCTTCGTTCCAGATGGAGGAGGCCATTTGGCTGACACGGGAGAGTGTGGTGTGAAAACAACTAGGCATTTTAGGGGAGCACAGACCAGCAATTGAACAGAACCCCTACAAGACTTTAAATATGTTCACGAATCTCAAGAAAGTGGCAGAATGGTGACATGCTTGGCTGCTAACTGAAAGGTTGGTGGTTCGCACCCGCCCAGTAGCTCTGCGGGAGAAAGAGGTGGCCATCTGCTTCTGCCAAGATGACAGCCTGGGGGGCAGTGGTACTCTGCCACATGGTGTCTCTCGTTTATTTTCATTTAGTTCGCATTTCCCACGATCTCTTAGTTCATTTGTTAGAGTCCCTCATCACGGGTCTCGCTCCAGTCATTTCGCAAGCTCTTTCCAGGCAGAGAGCTAGGCTGCCCTGTGGGACCCTCCCACCCAGTGCAGCGGCTGCCCTTCTCCACGCTGCCCACCTCAGCTCTAGAGTGTGCCAAAGCATCTTTGATGTGGAGAAGTCGGAACAAGGGTCTTTTCTGAGCTCTTCCGGAAAAATCTCGACTTTCTTGGTGGGATGTTAGGCTCACTCGGTGACGGAAGTCGAGCCTCCATGAGGAGCAGGCGCTGGCCTTCTTGGATGTTTAAGCTGGGGAAGGATGGACTGAAGAGGGCCATCTCACTGGCTTCACTTCGTTCTTTCCAGCGCTCTCCTCCTTTCCTCCCCGATCCCCATCATGGTATCCAGACTGGCGAAGGGTCAGTCTCCACCCGGGGCCTTCTTGTCTCCCAGGAAGGAACTCTCTGACAGCTCGGGAGACATTAGATCGCTGACCAAATTCTCAGTAGAACAGTGGAGCTCCCCAGGTGACATTGTGTCATTTTTATTTATTTTTCAATGCTGTCCCGTTGCTCGTGCGATGCCATGCTAGAAGCTATGTTCGGGTAGAGACAAATGGCTGGAAAATTCAGGACAGTTCCTTTCATGCCCTGAAAATTACTTAAATGCATTTTTGTCTCAGATTTCCTAGGCATTAAAGTGAAACTGCCATTCCTGCCCATTATCTTCTTTTTCACCCGATTTAAGAAAAATTAGTCGCTGGTTTTTTTTTTTTCTCCCTCCCTAGCAACCAGAGCCCAGGAGACTACCTCCGAGGAATGGGGCGACAGTGGCAATTGGCTGGATAGATGCGTCCTTCTGCTGCATGGTCTCCAGAGGCCGCTGCCCATTCCCCCATTTCCTTGGGGCCCCAGGCTCTCACCTTGTTCTACAAGTGGCAAGTGTTGCGCTGCTCACGGCTGTGCGAGTGTGCTTGCTGTGGCTCAGGGTTGCTGTTCCCAGTTTCACAAAGGATATGCTCCAAAGGTCCTGTCACCCTTTCCCAAGCTGTCACTTCCTGCTTGACCCTCTGAAGGGTAGTGAAAGTGAAAGGCTAGGGTCTGCTCAGCCATCGGCCTATGTGAGTAGCCTTCTCCATCCCCTCGTATATGCATTCCACCCCCCAAACCAGACTCCCTGCTATTGACTCGATGCTGACTCACAGTGACCCCTAGTGGATTCCCGAGACTGTAGCTGTTTACCGGAATAGAAAGGCCGGTCTTGCTCCCCGGAAGCTGCTGGTGGTTTTGAACCACCGACCATGCAGAACGTGTAACCACTAAAAACCATTATCCCTCCATATTTCCTTTCCTACTGTCCTCTCTCCAAGTCTTTTCAGTCTGTGAATGGCTGCTCCAGGCAGCTTCGGTCGGTGTGTGCACCTTTAAATGCTTTCAGCAAAAGCTCATGAGAAGCCACCCCTTAGCACTGGCGATCCTCTGAAAATCCAGACCAAACTCACTGCCATTAAGTGATACTAACTCATAGTAGAACTGCCCCTGTGAGTTTCTGAGGCTGTGCCTCTTTATGGGAGTAGAAAGCCTCGTCTTTCTCCCACAGAGTGGCTGATGGTTTCAAACTGCTGACCTTGCAGTTAGCAGCCCAACGCATCACCACTAAGCTACCAGGGCTTGTGATAATCCTTCAGTTGACGTAAAACAGAAGCAATCTTGGAGGCAGGGCGCTGTGTGAGCCACAGACGGCTTGACCTTGAATTGTGGACTGGCAATGCTGGCTGCTGGTCTGGTCATGCTGATCAGCCGTGGGCTGTTTGAAAGGCCACAGAGCTCTCTTCACAGCAAAGCAGCAGCTCTTTCTCAACGAAGCCTTGTGCTGGTTGCTGTCAGTACATCCCTTTGCAGAAGGACTGCGGGGAGGTGAGGAGCAAATCGGAGTGCAGTGTAGTAACGATGAAATATGCAATTTTCCTCTGATTCTTAAATGCTTCCTCCACCCCACTACCATGATCCCAATTCTACCTTACATATCCGGCTGGACTGGAGGAGGTGCACTGGCACAGATAGGAACTGGAAATACAGTGAACCCAGGACAGATGAACCCCCCAGGACCAGTGGAGATAGTGGCGATGGCGGGAGGGTGGAGGGAAGGAGAGGGAGAAAGGGGGAACAGAGGACAAGGTCTACATGTGGCCTCCTCCCTGGGGGACGGACAGTGGAGAAGTGGGTGACGGAGACCTGGGATGGGGTAAGATATGACAACATAATAATAAATTATAAATTATTGGGGGCTCGGGGGGAGGTGGGAGTGGGGAGGGAAGGGGAAAAATGAGCTGACACCAGGGGCTCAAGTGGAAAGTGGGTGTCGTAAGAATGATGAAGTCAACATATGTACTAGTGTTGGACACAGATGACATATGGACAGATTGTGATGAGTTGTATGAGCCCCTACTAAAATGATTATTTTAAAAAACAGAAAAATCCCCACTGAGAAACCTCCCTGCCCTTGAGTCCATAGTGACCCTATAGGACAGGTGAGACCTGTCCCTGGGAGTTTCCGAGACTGTAACTGTTTACAGGAGTAGAAAGCCCAGCCTTTCTCTTACAGAGCTGCTGGTGGCTTCCATCTGCTGACCTTTCAGAATACAACCCACCACTTAACCACTGCCCCACCAGGGCTCCTGAGTAACAAGTTGATCCTGACGGTTTGTGGCAAGAAGGAGCCTGGGATTCCCTATTCTGCCCATTTCAGAGCTTTTTCTGGGTGCATTTTCAGACGGTGGATCTATCTTGATGGATATGTGGATTTCTCAGTTGCAAACTTTCCCTAAAACTCATGACACTATCTATTTAGGTGGGCAAATGTTACTCTGTGGAAATTCCCACTGTTGTCCAGTCGATTCCGACCCTATAGAGCATTCCCAAGGAGAAAATCTTTCTTTAAAGAAAATTATAAATAATTGTATTGGGGTCTCTTACAACTCTTACAACCACTGTATTAAGCACATTTGTACATATGTTGCCATCATCATTTTCTAAATATTCTCTTTGTACTTGAGCCCTTGGTATCAGTTCCTCTTGTCCCCCACTCCTTCCCCCACCCTCCCATCCTTGTGAACCCTTGATAATTTATAAATTATTTTTATTTTCATAGTTTACACCGTCTGCTGTATCTCTTCACCCACGTTTCTGTTGTTCATCCCTCTCGGGTGTGGGGGGGTGTTATACGTCAATCATTGTGATTGGTTTCTCCATTCTCCCCAGGTTTCCCCCTACCCTCCTGGTATTGCTACTCCCATTATTGTTCCCGAGGGGGTTATCGGTCCTGGATTCCGTATCGAGTGCTCTTATTTGTACCTGTGTACACGCTCTGTTCTAGCTGGATGTTACAAGAGCAGGGAGCTTCCGTTTTCTCTGGAGGAGCTGCTGATGGCTGAGAGCTGCCGGCCTTGTGCTTAGCAGTCCTGCACGTACCAGACAGCTCCCCCAGAGCCACTTTGGGCATGGTATCTCAAGAAATCTGCTACTGAACAAAGAAAAACAGCACATTTTGTTGCTCTGTGCAGAACAAATGGGGTAGAGATTACAGCCCAGGCAGGAAAATGTTGGGAGTATTTAAGCCCGAGATGGTGAGAGTTTGGATTTAAAACCTAGATCAATAAATAAAGGGACAGTTATCGAGTCAATGCTGGGTGATACACGTGGGGTTGCTCACTAGATGCTCAGTGGTTTGGAACCACGAGCCACTCCGTGGGAAGAAGTGGAGGCTTTTTATTCCTGTCAGGATGTACAGTCTTGGGAACCCTCAGGGGCAATTCTACCCTGTCCGATCGGACCATGATGAGATTAAATATACAGAGGTAATAAAATGGAGTCGATTGAGTGGAGTGTTTGCGGTGAGGTTCATTCAAGAGGATTTAATATGGATTGGATAACACATGCACAAGGTTTCGCATCCTCAGACCACAAAAACTGTCCCCCAAATCGCTGCCCTATTTTAAATCAATTTGCTTTGCTTTCTTTGAGATACTTTCCTCTAGATTTCTAGAACATTCAGCTGTTGGTGTCAAAATCTACTGACGTAGTGGTGGAGCTGTTCTGGGTATTCAAAACCTTAGGGTTTTCTTGTTGAAAAGGAGATGAGTTATTCTTTTTTGTTCTTTACAGCAACCCTTTAGACTACAGTGTCTCGGAGTGTGTATTGCGTAGCAGATACAGAAAACCCACTGCTGTCAAGGCCATTCTGATTCACAGTGACCCTAGAGTGGGGGACAACCCTAAAGGGCTCCTGTGAGTTTCTGAGACTGTCACTCTGTGGACACAGAAAGCTTCACCTTTTGCTCCTTGGTGCAGGGGTGGCTGTGACCTACGGATTGGGCTGTTAGCTGCCCAGCCCATCGTCACTACACCAGGACACGGTAGTTAGTAGAGAAAAACTGATTATACCCAAGACCCAATCACGCACTTGGCTTTAATTCATTTAATTAATCAGCCAAAGGCTACAAGCTTCTAGGTTGGTTATGACCAAGGTACAGCTTTGTAATAGTTTTTTTTCCCCTCTTAGTGACTCATTGTGAGTTAACGGCCACCATTTGGCCCATGTAGCATCCAATTTTAAACAGGTACAAATGGAGTAACTCACTTAATACTGTGCTTTAATTAAAATGGGTTATTCTCAGATACTATTTAAAAGGGATAAAATAATTTTGAAAATCAAGGTTGAGACTGGGTTACAGGGTTCTCAAACCAGAAGAGATCAGGGAATTCTACGTTTATCTCTTTCATTTAGAGAAAGAGCAGTCCCCTGGTCAAGCAAGCAAGCAGTGTCTAAGCAGCGGGAACTATTCATTTTAGCTTGCTCCCCCCCACCCCACCCAGATGAAGGCAGTCGGTTACTCACATAGACAGCTTGAGGACGATCGGCAGGCTCCCCACTGTCCTTCTTCCAAGCAGTCACTCAATCACCCGGCTGCTGTTTGCACACTGCTTTTGAATGGGTTGTTCCCAGGGCGTCGTGCTGTGAGGGAGGGCGGAACCTGGGAATCACATATTGTCCAATTCTGCGAGAAGTGCACGAGAAACTGCCTCCTGGATGTCAACCAAAAGATAGGGAGGCGGATGAGATAAGACCCCTTGCCTGTTTCTCAGAGGACCATGTTCTAGGGAGGATCCCAGGGCCCAGCTCAGTCTGTGATTAGCTCACAGTTGAACTTGGCCCATGTGGAGATGTGCCCTACAATCAAGAACAAATAATAATTCGAGGAGGGAAGGGGAAAACTGAGGAGCTGATGCCAGGGGCTTAGGTGGAGAGCAAATGTTTTGAGAATGATGAGGGCAACGAATGTACAAATGTGCTTTACACAATTGATGTATGTATGTATGGTGATAAGAGTTGTATGCACCCCTAATAAAATGATTTAAAAAATAATTCGAGGAACAACCCTGGAATTATATTGCTCCGTAGCAATTCAAAAAAATTTTACCATTATCTACTTGTTACACTTTTTAAAAGAGTAATACTGGATGGGCCAATTGTTGAATTTCTTCTCTGTAGAAATCCTTTAGGGTCATGATATATATCAAGATGTTACCACCAGATGGCGCCTGATAAATACTCCAACTCATTCAATGGCTCATTATGAAAAATTACCCTCGATTGCCATTTCTATAACTGACTGATGATTATAGACCTAATTGTCATTGCTGTAATTCCAAATCACCTATGAACTTTAACTTTAAAAGTAATGATGGTGTAATTTTTTCCCTCTTACAATATTGTCTTCTTTATTTTCTGGATTAAACTTTTGGTAATATTTTTTCCATTTAAAATCCTCCCAACTAAAGGCTCAGAGACTAAGACTGTGGACTCTTGCATAGATTTAATCTAGAAGACGTACTAACATATCGCTATGCTTACTTGACAGGTAGATATAGAGTTATGGATTTTTAAAGCCCTGGATCATAATCTGTAGACAACATGGGGAGGATGTGTTGAGATGGGCCCATCATACACTGCTAAAGGACATGTAAAATCATGCAGCCACTTTGGAAAACAGTTCTGTAGTTATGCAAATCTTTCAGCATAGAGTTATTCGTGACCCTGAAATTCCATTTCAAGGCATAGACCCCCAAGAATTTGAAACAAATCGTCAAACAGATACTTGTACAAGGATAGTCATTGCATCACTATTCACAATAGGCAAAAAATAGATGCTACCTGGATGCCGACCCCTAGGTGAATGGGTAAATGAAAGGCGGTATGCCATTCAATGGAATGTTTTTCAGTCATGAGGGAAATAAAGTCTTGATACATGCTGCAACATCAATGAACTGTGAATAAATAAGGATCAAAATCGCATGATGAGGGCAATGAAGGTACAAATGCGCTTTATACAATTGATGTGTGTATGGATTGTGATAAGAGTTGTATGAGCCCCTAATAAAATGTTTTTTTTTTTTAAAGAAAACCAAAAAAAATCGCATGGTTCCACTTATTTGTATTATGTAGAGAGCCTGTGACATGTAGATGACTCAGCCTCACTGGCTGAAAGCTAGGAGGACTGGAAGTAGTTGCTGCCAAGGATCAAGGATGGACACCTTCAGTATGGATGACAACTCAATGTAAAGGAAAAACCGTCTTCACAACTGGACGGATGGGTAGCATCCTAACCAAAGGAGAAAAGACTGAGGCCATCCACGAGTCCATCGCACTTGGGTCCCCAACCAACGCTCACGGAAGCAGGAGTCAAGAGATCAAACAACAGTGCATTAGAGACATCTGATACACAACACCCCTTTAGAGTGTGGAAAAGCAAGGGTGTTACATTGAGGACGAAGGCGGGTCTGATCATAGCCATGGTATTTTCAATTGCCTCATATACATGGGAAAGTTGGACACTGAATAAGGAAGATCACAGAAAAATTGATGCATTCAAACGATAGTACGGCAGAGAATATTAAAAGTAACATGGACTGCTCTCTGCTCCTCCTCGTGCAACAGGTAGCTATACCTTCCTATCCCGTGCAGTTGCAGCCGCATCCCAGAGACACTACAATGAAGGTCAGAATAAATGTGCTTGGCCACATTAGACGCCTGGTCACCAGGGCTGCTTTCAACTCTTGGCAAAGTGGACATTGTTGCCATGAATGTCCCCTTCATTGACTTGAACTACATAGTCTACATGTTCTAGTATAATTCTACCTATGGCAAGTTCAATGGCACCATCAAGGCCGGGGATGGGAAGTCCATCTCCATCTTCCAAGAGTGAGATCCCACCAAAATCAAGTGGGAAAAAACTGATGCTGAGTATGTTGTAGAGCCCACCGGTGTCTTCACCACCATAGAGAAGGCTGGGGCTCACTTGACTGGTGGTGCCAAAAGGGTGATCATCTCTTCCCCTTCTGCCGATGCCCCCATGTTTGTGATGGGTGTGAACCACGAGAAGTCTGACAACTCCCTCAAGATTGTCAGCAATGCCTCCTGCATCACAACTGCTTAGCCCCCCTGGCCAAGGTCATCCATGACAACTATGGCATTGTGGAGGGACTCATGACCACAGTCCACCCCATCATTGGCACACAGAAGACTGTGGATGGCCCCTCTGGGAAACTCTGGCATGACAGCCGCGAGGCTGCCCCACATCTATTGGCACTGCCAAAGCTGTGGGCAAGGTTATCCCAGAGCTGAATGGGAAACTCCTGGCATGACCTTCTGTGTCCCCATCCCCAGTGTGTTGGTCATGGATCTCACCTGCCATCTGGAGAAAGCTGCCAAGTCCTATGACATCAACAAGGTGGTGAAGCAGGCGTCTGATGGTCCCCTAAAGGGCATCCTGGGATACACAGAGGACCAGGTTGTCTCCTGTGACTTCAGCAGTGACACCCATTCATCCACCTTCTATGCTGGGGCTGGCACTGCCCTCCATGACCACTTTGTCAAGCTCATTTCCTGGGATGACAATGAATTTGGCTATAGCAATAGAGTGGTGGACTTCATGATCCACACGGCCTCCAAGAAGTAAGAGCCCCCCTGGACCACCAGCAACAGCACTAGAGGAAGAGAGGCCTTCAGTTGCTGGGGAGTCTTTGCCCCAAACTCAATCCCCCAACACACTGAGAATAGTCTATCCAGAATGCCTGAAGGAAGGGGAGGGGCTTAGAGAGCCTGACCTTGTCATGCACCATCAATAAAGTACTCCCCCCACCCCCCCCAAAGGGAATCCTATGAATTGCCAAGAGTCACCAAATCTGTCATGGAAGAAGTACAGCTAGAGGGCTCCTTAGGGGCAAGGATGGTGAGACTTCTTCTCCCATACTTTGGACATGTTGTCAGGTGAGACCAGTTCCTGGAGAAGGGCATCATGCTTGGTGAAGTGGAAGGGGGGGGGGGGCTTGACAAGATGTGAGGATGGTGTAGGAGCTGGCACTGTTTGGTTCTGTTGTGGCTATGAGTTGGAATTGGCTCGATGGTCCTTAGAAACAACAATATCTAGGCAAGACAATAGCACAGAGACAGACATTTGTTACTGGTGACTGGGGTCTAGCGAGAGGGAGGAAGAGCTAATCATGGCTGAAGAGATACTGAATTTCTGTTGAGAGTGATGAAAACATTTTGAAATAATTAACTGTAAGGGTTGTACAGCATGATAAATGTAAATCGTATCTCTGAATTGCATATTTGCCAATGGTAAAATGGAACATTTTTAGTTGGGTATATTTTACCACTATTTTAAAAATATGTCCAAGGCGTTTTATCCAGGGTATGTCTAGAATTCCTGAAATTCAATAATCTGAAGAGAACCCATTTTAAACAGGACAAAATGCACACTGCATCAAAAAAGACCGAAACCTACTTAAAGCAAAACAAAACCCATTTGCAGTTGAGCTCATCCTAACTCACAGAAAAGATAGAAGAATAGCCCGAAAGAACATGGGAACATGGAATGGTTTATTTACTCATTCTTCAAATGCTCCCCACTGCCATCAGAATGATTCTGACTCATCCCCACCCCACCAACCTCAGCCCCAACCCCTGTAGAACTGAGTAGAGCTGGTCCTTTGTATTTCCAAGGCTGTCAATCATCACGGAAGCAGAAAGCCTCTTCCACCCCCTGAAGAATGATCGGTGGGTTTGAACTACTGATTCTGAGGTTAACAGCCCAACATATAAGCCACTATGCTGTCAGCACTCCTTGGAAACATTCACTGAATATTAAATATGAGGGGGCTTCAAAACGTTTGTGGGAAAATTCCATGATTTTTTACTTCATGGTCCCACAAACTTTTGGAAGCCCCTTCACATGTGTCAAATTTCATCCTGGGTGCTGGGGACACTGAAAAGAATGAAAATGTCAACCTTGTTCCTGAAGGCTTCACCATTGCGGGGCAAGGATGAGGGGACAATGGAATAGACTCATGCAATATACTGTACTGAGTGTTCCTTAGAGAGGGAAAGTGCCCTACAGCTTTCTGTCTGTCTGTCTGTCTGTCAATCTATCTATCATCTATCTATCATCTATCTATCTATCTATCTATCTATCTATCTATCTATCATCTATCTATCTATCCATCCATCCATCCATCCATCTATCTCTATCTCTCTGTATATGTCTATGTATACACACACACACCTGCACTGATGTGGTGGTGGTGTTGGCTGCCATCCAGGTCTGACTCATAGAGTCCCTATGTACAATGAAAGCAAATAATGCCTGGTCCTGCCTGCATCATCCTCACAATTGTCATGTTTGACCTCATTGTCACAGCCACAGTATCCATCCATTCCACTTTTTCGCTGCCCCTCTGCTTTACCAAACATGATGTCCTTTTCCAAGAACTGGTCTCTCCTGACAACATGTCCAAAGTCTGTGAGATGAAGTCTCAACATCTTTGCTTCTAAGGAGCATTCTGGCTGTACTTCTACCAAGACAGATCTGTGTTTTTCTTTTGGCCATCCACGGTACTTTCAACATTCTCTGCTAGTACCATACAATTC